GTTCCAGACAGTGGATGCCCTTCGTGAATCTTCAACACTTGGAGCAACGTTCCCACTAGCCTCCTGGAAACACTGGCATCAAGCATGTCTAAACCACTGTTTGAAGTCATCAACAAGAATGGTGGAGCTACTCATTACTGAGTCCTTTTTTGACAATTTGATTTCGGTTTTGGGGGGTTTTCAGGTTTTTTTGAGCTATGGTCTTAAACTTTAGATCAGATGAAAAAATCATGTTTGAGTGTAAATGCAGTTTTCAGAAAATTCCTGCTCAAAAGTTCTTGTCTCTTGCACTGATTTCTTCTTTTAACATTGTGAAGCTCTACTTAGAACCTTCTTAAGATCCAATAGTGCAAAATGCAAATTCTGGCACTTTTTTGACTGGTCTTAAGATTTTGATCAGGAGTGTATATGTGTGACACATACAGTTAGTTTTATGTGATGGAAAGAGGGTTCTACTGTAAATACGTTAGCAAAAACCTATAATGAAAAGTTCCCAAACTGCTTATAGATTTATCTCTTGAACAAATACATATTTTTTACACATCACAACATCAGCAGTTTTCTCAGTTTTAATTTAAGCCATATTTTATAGAAATTGGATAAGAAATGAGGGTGCTATGAATATGTTTGTGACAGATTGACATGCATACCGCATTGAAACTCTACTGTTTTGTTGACATGACTCAATGCATAGCAATGGCTCTTGTGACGGTGCGTCGCTAGCTATGGCGGCTATAGGCAGTGTCCAATCCAGTAATATAGATCAATTGTTGTGATGCCAGTGTGACTTATAATAAGAAAAAAAAATACAAATGAATTAAAAAATATCAGCAAGGGCAGACTTGTCCATCCAGCCTTAGAGCCAGAGTCTGACCCAGAACCAGAGGAGAATGAAGACCACCAAATTGTACTTGGTAAGTCCAGACATTATTTAGAAGTTGCGTCACAAATACTGTGATGTAATAGTTCAGAAAATATCATAGAAAAAAGAGTAAGTAAACGGGTTAAACTTTTCTGCCTTTCTATAGAGTCCTTGTACACAATAAAAAAGTATTCAATGGCTAAAAAWGTGGATTTTACATGAAATATCCCCTTTTAGAGCCACATCAGTGGTAAGCTTTCTCCAGAGTCAACAGTAAAACTCCCATGACCTCCTTAGGCCTGAGTCACTCTACAAAATTTTAAACCAGTCGGCCAATTTTCAAAGACAGATAGAGCCCATACATGAGGATAAAAAATCATAGATCTACCAAGTTTGGTCCTACAGTGTGTGGTGTACAGACACACAGCTAGAGACAACACACCACACACGAAAAGATATTTCATTCATGATTCAGATGTCAGATATTAAATCACGAGAGACTTCCTGAAATCTCATGAGAATTCAGATGTCCGAGGAAAAATCTCACGTGACCTCCAGAGAGACGCGAGTTCAGAGTAAATAAACATTTGCAACAAGGAAGAAACAATGTTGATCATTTGTGGACTATTTTTACCAGAGGAAAAACAATTCCAGGACTTTTAACATCAAGCAGACTTTCTGCTGAGTCATGACAACTTTTGTTTACGTCACCTCGCTTTCTGATTTGCTACACATCTCATTCAACAGGCTGAGAGCTCAGGTGAACACTACACACACTGTGATATTGGGCCAAAAAAATCAAATATGTTGAATATCCCCGATTTGAGGTCCGAGCGGCCCCGATGTCCTTCTGAGCCGACTAGATCACTCTTAACTCACCACCCATGCTGAGCATATCTGCTATGATTATCTTTAGAGCCGTCATGATTATCTGGACTTCCTTAAGATTGTCAGAAGGGCAAAAATCGGCCTGATTTTCTTGTAGTGTGACATCGGCCTTAGCAATTCCACAAGAGTTGAGACCTGGTCCATTGTTCCACAACCTGGACAAAACCACAAGTTTAACAATCTGGGCTTCTACAGTCAAAGTCTCCTTCAAATATGGAGTCAGCTGCCCAGAAGAATGCGCAGTGGGACATGTTTTCTTTTACTATGACAAAAACAACTTGGTATATTTCCTCAAACAGACAGCAGAGCATTAAAAACGCCTGAAGTTTAGTATTAAAACTCACCTGGTGATCAGGGTGAGAATTTAAAGCTCGAATCTCTAAGAAGTTGAATGTAGTTTCWACCTGTTGTCAAGACAGAATGGACAAAGTGATAAGTTCACTTATCACCACTAATGACCTCAAACTTTATATTCACTTAATAGAGCTGGAAGGAGTACCTTAGCAGGGACCTTTGGAGCCAGGAAATAGAGACGCCATGTTGTGAGAACCTGTTAAATGAAAGAGAGAAATAAAAAATCAGACTGCTGAAAAGTTCAGTGCACTGTCAAACTCCCCACGGGAAGAAACTAGTCTGAGGAGTTTCCATGGGAATGATGAGAGGAAACACTCCTGTATTGATCCTGCTAAAAGCCCTCTCTGTCAGTGTCACAATGTTCAGCATTAATAGATTAACATCCTGCCATRCAGGCTGAGATTCTCGCAATTCTACAACTACACATCATTTATTACATTTATTAGCCTTACATTATCTACGCTGTGGGCCATCATATAAATCGTATTTGTCTGAAGAAAGTGCAGCTCTGCTGCTTGCTTTAGTGCTTGGGGCTGTTTGCAAACTTAAAGAGAAGAAAATCAAACATTCAAAAGGTAAAAAGTTGTCTCTGTGCCCTACAAGTATTTGTTAAAATGCTAAACGGACTGTATTTATTGTATATAGCACCTCTCTATCCAACCAGGATACTAAAAGCTTTTTACTATCTCCTCATTTACCCATTCACACACACATTCATTTACCCATTCACACACACATTCATTTACCCATTCACACACACATTCATTTACCCATTCACACAC